ATAACTCCACAGAAACTCCTAATTCCAGCATAGGTCTCCTGGCCCAAGCAACCTTTATCTTCCTCTCAGGGTGCTCTGTCAGTGTTATCACGGACCTTAGTATCTTCTTCCTTTCAGATAGCCCCAGCCCTATAATTGTCTTCCTCAACCATACCCTCTTCATCTGGTCCCTTGTTTCTCCTGTGGCTTTAATTATCCTCTTTGGTGCTTTCTGACCATTCGCCCATGTATTTTATCAGAAAGGATGAACTGCCAGAGATTTTAGCCCTACCTCCCCACTACCACACATGCCCTGTTACTTTCATCAACTGTTAGCTGTAGGATCACTCCACTGGTTTTAGTCTGAGTTTGCATATTTGATATTTAATATTCCTTCCTCTTTCTCTGATTTCCTTCCCTATAACTCCTGATAGTAATTTCCTAACAAAGTCCAAGTCACTGCTTCTCTTAAAACCTGATTATCCTTCTGCTTGTTTCCTGTTTCACCATCTTGATTTTGTTGTTCTCTATTCAAAAACCCTGCTTCTTCCTCTGTATAAACTGCATACCTGAAAGAAGGTCACAGAGAAGACAAGATACCTCCGAAGCCCAGCGCTATCCCTTTCTGGTACTGCATATGCTCAGCTGCTCTGTGATGATGGCACTGACATCCATTGTGCCCCATGCCTGGTGAGAGGAATGCACTTTGCTGTGTGAAGAGAAGATACAGGGTTCAGACAGCGTCAGGAGCTGAAATAAATTCAAGAATATATCTTTTAGTGTGTAAGACAGTTTTCAAAAGTTCTTTTTTTTTTTGTTAAATTTTCATTACAGTATCAGCTCTTGCCCCATGGAATAGCTTTACTACTACTCAAAGAAAATGTCACTACGACTTTTTAATATGGATTGAATCATGTATTATTTCCCTCAGTTTCAGCTTAATGCAGGTTGAACTGTTTCTGAAAGAGAGAACTGGTCAAGATCCATTATTAATAAGAAAAATAGAGATTTACAGTGAAAGATGTCAGCCAATCTGGATAGAGGAAAGTGTAAAGCACAACCACAATATGAAAACTGTAATTCAAAAGTTGAAGTGGAACAAAATTTACAAACCCAAGTAAAATGCTTTTACGTTATCAGAGAAACATTTATGGAATGCAATTACTCAAATTCAATGAAATTATTCGGTTACTCTCCATGAAGTACTTTAACATCACTTGAATTAAACTGAGAGATTTAAAGACTGCCTTTTGATACTTGTTTGTTAAAATTATTATGTTCCCAAGGCAAGTTAAGGTTCTGAAGAAACCAACTCTTCCAGTGAAAAAAAATCCATTAAAACTGGAGAAAAATGATAACCACTTCATTTATTCTTCGTTTTTTTCTCATGATAAAAGCTGACAATGACACCAACTCCTTGTTCTAAACTTTGAGATACTGTCCAAGTTGGTCATAAGTCTTTGTGCAAGGACAGACTGTTTAAAAAGCTTCAGTTTTTACATAATGAAGAAGGTAGATGATAGTTCCCCTATAGTTATATCATTCATATAATTGAGGAAATGGCAAACCTGAATATGCACAATGGCTCATGAGAACCAACAGACTGAACTGAAGACAGTGCAGTCTTGCTCCTCAGAGAGTATGTACTTCTGCTGTAACATAAAAGGTTGATGTTTTTCAGGTGAAAGGATGAACAATAAAATTCCGTGTAGTATGAAAAAGCTTGTATTCCTGGAATTGCCTAGCTTCTTCCATATGCAATCCTTTGGTAATGTTATATATTCAGGGCTCACATTACTCTGCATAGAATAATTCAGTAAATATCCATTGGGTGGTTTTGGGTAGGAGGTTGGAAAGGAAGTAGAATGTTGATATCAATTTCTCCTAATTTTAGACATCAGTACCCTAGAGGTTTGTATGTGAGATAATCCTCCTGGGCCAGAATTATAATAAGTGCTTGCACTATTTTAGTAGCCCATCTTAGAAGTGTGTATCTCTCTATAATACTTTCAATATTTGGATAAAGACTGCAAGCTCAGATAAAGACATTCATATGTAATCAGATGAATGCTCCCTTGATGCTCTTCCTCTTTAAAGGCTCTAGTGTCCCATAATTCCATATACAGACTTGAAATTTGAATTTGAGGGGTCTGGCCTCCAGACCAGATGTGCCATTTGTTGTTTTTGAAAACCTGCCCAGTTACAAGCCTTTGGGGAAAAAATGCAATTTACACACACTGAGACTTGCTATAGCTCCACAATTAAGTCTTCTGAAAAGTCCTATCCCATGTACAGTCCTATCCTGAGTGTTGTTCAGGCAAGACTTCTTTCTTTTTTCCTTCAGTTTTCATTGTTACAGATCCAGTCCTGCCTGAGTCCCTGTGCTGAGATTCTCAAAACTCTCCAAACTGATCCTTGCCAAGCAAGAAAGGAGACATTATTTGACTGAAATTAGAAGAGAATGAGGTGTGGTTAAGAAGCGCATACATGTGCAAGCAGCCTGTAAGTTGGCAGAGGGATGAAGAGAGAAAGGAAAGTCTGGACTGGCAAAGTGAAGCCATGGAGTGGAAGGTGTTAGGCTAGGAAAAGGAGCCATCAAATGGGGAGAGAATTAGAGTTGATGAAGCAGGAGGGAGGATCAAGATGATAAGTGTGGGAATGGGAAAAGGATGGAAAAGGGACTTCATTTTTGGTTCCTCCAGGGCAAGGATGAAGGGCAGAGATAGACCTGGGACAAAATGGAGAGGGACCAAACTGCAGGCTGATCCCTTCCTGGAAGGGAGAGAAATAATCTTCAGGAATAGCACTGAGCCTCCACACCTCCCCTGTCATCAACATCTACCTGTGAAGCTCCTTGGCAAAGCACCAAGATTGTCATGAAAGGTGCCACTGAATCTGGCCAAATGCTCAGTGCCTTAAGGCTGAGCTGCAGTCCTGCCCCTGTCTTTGTACACAGATGTTCTCCTTGGCAAACTTGGGCTTCTGTGGATTTCTGAAGGCAGAGTGGGCTGCACCTCTGCATGTCTTCCTGGTAACATGTGCGAGATTTTATGGTATTGCTATGTGTACATCTGCCATGTGCTCCTAGTGCCATAACATTTAGGCATTTTTTCTTTTTCTTTTTTTTTTTTTTGTGTGTAAACTCTTTGTTCATGTGGGAGTAAACAAACAAATGAACAACCCAAAATGTGAAATGACTGGAACAATGAACAAGACCCTGAAGACACCAGGGCCCTATAAAGAACGCAGCCCGACGGAAGCCTCAAGGACTCTGCTTTGCATTCTGCTCTCATCCTGGGTATCCTAAGGAGATAAGCTGTGGAGGATCCTGGGAAGATGCACCCTGTTTGTGAATGAATAGCAGCTCTTTCATTTACAGCCGCTTTGGTTCATTTCCCCACATAAGCACAAAAATAACCACTTTGGATCTTTGGTGAAGGGAGGGAGAGGAAAAAAAAGCTCCCAGAATTAACTCAGGGAAAGAAAGCCAGGTGCCATCTTTGCATTATATCCAAATGAGATGCAGCTGTTTAAATGTAAATATTAAACAAGAGAGAAGAATGCCTTAATTAGCCCTCGAAAGGAGACAGGAAAGCTGTAAGAATGCACCTGACACTAAGCAGTATGAGATAAACTCATTCCAGCTGTCACTGAACCGACTGTTTGAAGGCAGAGCACTGCTATTTTGTGCAAACAACGTAAAATGCTTAGGGAACTGCAATTAGCATCAACATGCATAGTATAAGTGAATGCAGCCTGCTGGTGTTTACTTCGCTTTGAATTGCTAGGGTTTGGAGTAAAAAAAATAAAATTAGCTATGCATTACACACTGGAGATTTTATCCCAGGCTTTTATGCATTTCTGAGAAGAAGACACAGGAGAGTGAAGCTATCAATCTGACTTGAAAAGAAGATATGATACTCAAAGGTCATTCTGAGTTTTTTTCTTCTTACTTGAGCAGTAAAATGTACAGATTGTGTCTATGAGATAAATTTTCATACAGGTTATTCATCACAAAAATAAACTGGAAGTTTCCCATGCAGTTTGCCAACATAACACATCTTGGAAAAAATACGGATCTGATTTAATTTTTCTTTTTTTTTTTAAAAAAAGCATAAAGAACAGAATCAAAGTTCTTTAGTATAATCACAATCTCTAGTTTACTTTATGTCTTTATATATAAAGTAATATATATAAATTAGCAGTGTATAAGTTACTGATTATATGCCAGTATGTACAAGAAATGGAGATGTAGAGAAATATTGCTCTGCTCAATATATTCTTGTTACAGGACATAGACTCCTTTCAGTAACTTTGACTGTAAGTGAAAAATTGTGTTTTCTATACTCATGGGGATTCACCTCAATACTCAAGGTTTTCATATCTAATCTCTTACCAGACTTACTTTATTAAAGTTGATGTCTCATGCAATGGGATGAAGCTGTACATAAAAGACCTTTGGTAATTTTTGCCAAATCTTCTGTGAATAAATATTACTCATGGAAGAGTAAAGCACCAAAGGGGTTAAGTATACAAGTTAAAGATTTACATAGTGATTAAAAAAATCTAAATGTAAAGGCATTTTGAAGGGAGAAAGAAAGCAAACATGTAAATGGCTTTTTTTTCAGTTTAGTTTAAATTACTCATATCACCTGTTTTGGTTAAAAGCAGGTATATACCTGATGTTTTGATCCATTAGGTGAGGCTGAAGTAAAATCTTAGAGTCTTATAGCTGCAGAAGAGGAACTAATAAACCTTCTGAGACAACAACATTGGCAGAATTAACCCATTTTTCTCTTACTTAGGATGACAGGGGATGATGCTAGCAATTGGATGTGACTTTAGGAGGAGTTGATTCAGCAGGCACAGAGCAACACAATCTCCTGCCCTGTCGTTCTAGCTATCTGGTTTATCCTACCTTCTAATGAGACACACTGTTATGCTTCCAGCAAGTGTTACAGTCGTGGCGTGTTTTTTTGTCTTTGAAATTTGACAAGTTCTCTCATATAGACTGAGATAGTGGGCCAGTTAGCTCAGTGGGTTGAGCGCGGTGCTCATAACACCGAGATCGCGGGTTCGATTCCCGTTTGGTCCGCATGTGTTGCCTGATCTAATCGAGAGGTGGCGTCCCTGCCCATGACAGGGAGGTTGAATTAAAATGATCTCTAAGGTCCCTTCCAGCGTGGACCATTCTATGATTCTATGATAACAAGCCTGGAATACAAAAAGTCATAGCAGGTATTCATTACTGGACACATGCATGTGATGGGAACGACAAGGCTGGGAACTCCTGTTGTGGCACTTGCAACTGGGTGCCACCTCTATAGGAAGTGTCCATTTATAAACACAGCAGCAGGTACTATAGCCCCAAATACAGTATGTAGTGACTTCAATACTTCAGTTGCTGCTTGGTTTGCTGGCTTGTCAGACAGACAAGTACTGCAAAACATCTCTTCTGCTGTGGAACAGGGTGGATCACTTAATGGGAATGAGCGGTTACATTTCTGAGACCCAGTTATTTACATATTTGTATGCAATATGGATCCTCAGCCAGCAGACTCTCGATTTTGTGTGTGTTATGTAAAAAAAAATTATATTTACTATTCATAATATTAGCAGATCCCTACAAGAGGGAGCAATTGATAAATGATAGGTAATATCAATAGACATATAAAACTCATATTCTGATAGAAAGAAATTACATGGAGAAAAGAGAGATTTGAATTTATATGATGTCTCTTGATTAGCATGGAATAAAGGAGGATGCTGAGGGCAGGCAACCTCTAACCTTATTCCAAATTGTATTATGTTAGTAGCATGTAAAGTACTTCCAAATGCTAGAGAAAGAAAAAACACTATGTCCAATATTGTAAACTTTCCATTAAAGAATATGGGAAGGAATTTGGAAGCTGATGTTTTGGGTCATATAGCTGGTTACTGGCAGAAGTAGGAAAGGAAATTAGGTCTTCTAGCTTTCTACCAGTATACCATATACTGCTATCTTACCTTGGACTTCAGGACACACACAAATGTGCAGCATACGTGGAGAAAAAATTACTTGGAACTTGGGCAAAAAGCACCATTAACAGGAAACAAATGAAGGAAGAACCAAAAGTTACTTAGATGAAAGGCAATAAGACCTTTGCAAAACAGCCACAGTGAAAGATATCGTTGTCCATTTCAGGCTGACAGATCTCAAAAATCTCTTTTCCTGATGATGCAGCAGAAAGCAAGAAATTTCCTCCTTCATGAATTAAACCTAAGCAAGTTTGGTCTTGTTTGAGAATAGCAGCAATTAGGATGGATTGTCTGAAAAGTATGCTATTCTTTTCCTTATTACTGCAGATGAGTCACATTGCAATGACTGCATTGTCTTTCTGTATATTCTGTCTCTATAAGCTGAGAACTATGCTTACCTATTTTTAGTCATTAAAAAATTGCATTGTAATGCTTTATTAATTCTTCATAATACCACCGTCAAAAAGGAGAGCTTTCACGTTATTTCGTAGGAACAACCTCAAGTTTGCCAACTGCTCATGCTGGTTAACCACAGGAGTACCCTCCAAATGTCTGTTCAAGAGCTCAGCTGTCATGTTCACCCTGAGTGTGCTTGGCCTGGCTTTCTGGCAAGGAACTCCCAGACAGATGCTGCTAGATTTTGCAGTCCACCTTACCAGGACATGATGCCAAATTGTATTTTGTGGCTCTTCAGAAGCTGCAGGTTTTGTACCATTCATGTATTGTCACATACTGACTCTCAGCAGCCAGGAAAGATGCCAGCTGTTCCACTGAAGACCTGATCCCTCTGGAAGGATGACATATTGCCTGCATATCCATGGCTGTAAAAATGATGCACTGATTTGCACCTTGATGAGCCTACAAGATTACAAACATACTGTTAAAACATGCCCAAACACTCCTTATGGCCAGCCAATACTATATGGACACCCATATTCTGGGCACCCTCTACAGAGAGGCTACGGTTCAGTCAATAACTATACATTACCTCTTCTAACCAGGAGGCCAAGCCACACGCTGTCAAGACACTACTTACTGTGAAAGGTGAGTCAGACAGAAGCACAGATGGCCTAGGCCAGCCAACAGGCTGCTGTTTGAGGAGATTAACGTGATTCCTCTGCTCGGAAGCTTGTAGGAGACTGCTGCTACTCAAAACACTGCTTTTAGCCCAGACTCAGCTAAAAGACAGTAGACAAGGTGAACAGGCTAGCATGTCTCTGTATACATATGACTCCAAAAGTACAGCAAGCTCTAACCTCTGCTGGTCTCCAGGAGCTCTATGTATGTGCTCACAAGTATTCTGGATGGGAAGGATCTGTCTGAGCAGACACACACACACACACACACACTGATGTTTCCCTGGCAGATCTATAGGCTGTCTCCAGAGAAAGTGTGTTCTGATACAGAAATATGCCAAAAGATAGTAAAGAAAATGTGGATGATCATGCATGTGCAGCTCCACATCTTCACCTGTATGGACTGCCCTCGCAGGGGTGGAGTGACACCCCATGTAGGAGAATTCCCAGCCTGTTTAAAGATAGTTGAACAAGATGCCAAGGCAAAGTGACTGTGATGTAAAGAAGCTGCTACCAGTGACAGCAGTGGAACACACAGGGACAGTCGGCTGGCCAAAGAACCCAAACTGTCACCTAGCACAGAGGAGACTGCAGCTTCAGACTCTTGTCCACAACAGGAGCTGTGGAGAGAACAGGGCCTTAATGGAAGGATGAGAGATAAAATCAGTGAGAGGGGAAGGCAAAGGTGGAGGGGGAGCATCTAATGTCATGTCATCTAAGGGTGTAAGCATGGCTAATGTGCAAGCGACGTTATTCCCTTTCTGGCAGACTTTGAATGACAATCTTGCTCTAGAGAAAAGGTTTCCTCCTGTCACAGAGTAAGGACAGAGCAGCATTTTTACTGCAAGGATCCAGAACTGGTTTGAGCAACCTGGAGTGGTTCAATGTGGGTGTTCTCATGCCATGTTAGATGGGATGCCAAAGGATGCCCTTTTCTATAGGTCTGGATCAAAGAAAGTGATAGTTATGAGGCAGTCTGTGGCAGATACAGTTCCTGTGCACCAAAATGGTAGCAGGTCAAATCTAATAGAGAAGCTGACATCCCCAAAGACACTTCATGTGGAGGGCATGTGTGAAGCAGTAGGAGCATCAGCCAAGGCTGAGGGGCACCTCTTGATGGTGACCTAGAGAGAAGTGTAGATGTAGCTCCTGGTAAAGCACAGGCTATCTTCCAGCATATCAAGAGAGGTAATTTCAAAATTACTACAGCTTTCCACAACATGATGCAGTTCCCATTAGATTGCAGCATGTCAGTTGGGTTTATAAATCAGGTTTTCCTCAGCTGCTGTATAATACACTTAGTGGTGATTATTCCTGGCTCCCAGGAGTAGTTCATGCTATTATTAAGTAACACTGGACAGATTAATTGTTATTATTTACTTCTTTATTTTATGAACTTGAGTCCTGTGCTGGATGATGAATGATGTGGGGGATTATTACAAATGCAACATAAAATGAAAGAAAAAATCCATAACTTCCAATTCCACAAAGAAAAAAAACCCTGATGGGTATTTAATAACAAGATGAACATGGGAAGATTCCTACCCACCCTATGCCTCCCAAACAAGTGACGGTCCTAATGAGAGGTCCCAAACTTGTGTCCATTCTTTGCTCAGGTGAAGGAAGTCATTGTCAGGGTCTTTTCCAACCTGAACAATTCTATGATTCTATGAAGTCATTGTGGTTCCCACATTTTGAATGCCACAGGGAGGAAGAAAGGACAAAAATTAGTCTTTTGCATTTTGTAATGAATGAAAGAATTCTTATGCCAGTTGGCAGTTGCAGAGCATGCACCATTGGCCTCTCATTCTGAAGAGGGTCTCCCAACAACATATTTGACTTAATACAAAGAGAAGAGTCAGAAATACCCTGGGGATCACTGTTGCTGTTCCTTTTAGATAGAAAGTATTTGTAGGTGTTACCTAGAGTGATAGATAGCAAGATAAAGCTGTGAGTACACTTCCACACTGTAGAGATGTAGTGGGCTTTTGGCATTCCTAACTAATCTTTGCTAAAGAGGTAAAAATTCTGTTTTTGTCATGTTTATGCAGGAGAATGGGTTTGGGGGGCAATTAAGATGTTTACATTGTGAAAAGACTTTGTGCTAATGTTGAGTGTGTTGATACATCCAGATGTGGCAGCTAATGTGGGAGTACTAGCCAGGCTCTGAAGGGCATATAACTATGGTCTTGACAAGCTTTTTAAAAAATGTCATGAAAATTACTTTTTATTTCCTGTAACTGGAGGATCTTGTTCAGGGATTAGATGGTATTACTTACTTTATCCTCTGTACAGAATTTGAAATCTCTTGCTTTTTTATTGTTGTTGTTGTTGTTCTTAAAATGGCTTGTTTGAAGTCTATGAAAGCTCTGAAGTTTTTTGCCAATCGGCTAAAAGACCCCCGTTTGTCCTTTCATTAACTTCCTTGGTCTTGGATAAACCCCATAATTCAGTCTGAGACACATTTAGTATTTTTCACAAATTATAGGCTGTATAATGAATTCTGACTATCCCCTAAAGCTGTAACTTGAATTGTTATTTAAATTACATGAAAAAACATGAAAAAATTGGGGATTTTTTTTTGCTACCTTTCTATCTCTTCTGTCACCACCACCTACCTACACACACGACTCTGTTGGTTCCATTTCCAGTGCTCTCTCATGCAGGCAGCAAACTGGAGCAAAATATATCATCCACTATTATACATTCTTTGGAGTGCCATTTCAAACAGTCTGTCAAAGCAATTCATTTGTTAGACTTTTGAGGGATAAATGTTTATCCCATAAGGCCTTCATCACACAATCTAGACAACCCAAAATGCCCATTTGACTTGAAATTGTGCACACAAGCAAGGGGGAGGTAATGGGAAATTGTGATGGATGCGAAAGAGAAAATGACAACATTTTAGGATGTAAGTGAAGTTTTCACTAGAACATTGACTACTAAAGATTTTTTGAAAGATTGAGACTGGGCTTTGGCGAACCAGATAGTTTAGTATGAG